AAAAAGTGAGTGATAATGTTGTTACCTCAAAGAAGAAACAAGACTTTTATCTTCAGTTTATTATGAGCAAATGTCTTATCCAATCAATCTGACCTATTGGATTAGTAGCAGGTCCTTTAGCGCCAAACTTGAGTGTATCAAACTTGTTGATGCAGGATTTGTCCAGGACCTGGGTAATTTAAAGTTAGCATCTTGAACATTGTCGTGTTTCCTTAGACCACCTCTTTCAATGCTCCATGATTCACTTCTGATGCTACGCAGCCCCGTACACAACAAACTGTGATGCTTTGATCAGATCTAGCATCAGCTTTTTTAAACCTGAGGTCCAGTACCTCTTACTTTTGATTTTAGCCTTGGTGGTCTTTGATCTTGTCCTTGGTGGACCTGTTTTCCGTCCTTGTACAACTTTTGGTAGGTACTCGCCACTGCACCCCTCAAGATAATCAACAATTTTCACTGTGGCTGTTAATGTTGATAATTCTGTGCTAATTTGTGTTTTTCTTTTTCTAACCACAAAGCTTTGCTCTTTCTCTTGTGACAGTTTAGATACATACTATCAGGCTTCTTATTGAGCAACATGAAGGCAGACTCTCAGGACTAAATTCTCTGTGTTCACATGTTTTTTTGTTTTGTCTCTTCAGGGGAGATCTGCACATCTGACTGATCTAGCCCAGAAGTCTGGAAGTGACGGCAGTATTTTGCAGAGTCCTCAGATTAGACCCAAACCTCGACCTCCTGGGAGATGTTCAGGTCTTGCAGATCAAACGGTGGTTTCTTGTCACCATTCAAGAATCGGTGCTCAGTCTGATTTCAGTTCACCTCTTTACAATTCTACTTCCACTCTGAGCCCTGGACAGCGAGTTCAGATGTCCTGTCCTTCCTCTCACTCGGGACTACAGGAACAAACCTTTCTCTCTCCAACACAGTCTCTCTCTGGACCTCTCAGGTACTGTCGTGCACACAAGAGAGGGGTTTCCTCTGCTGGTACATTTCAGAAGAATTAATCCACAGATAAGTTTCATCCACCAGTCGACAAAATAATCTGTCAGGATGTTTTTTATTTCAAACGATGTATTTGATAAAGTTCATTCTAATCAGTTTAACTATTTGAAACAAATAAAAAGTCTTCTTGCGCATGAATGTTGGTGAAGGATGAAGGATCTGACACATACGTGACGTCATGGTCATTGAGAGCAGTTTCAAAGTGACCTTCTGTGTCAAGAACATTTTCACTTTATTCAAAACTTCAAATTCTTTTATGTGCAAGATTTAATAATATTGGCCTTAACAATATCTTGATTTCCATAGTATTTCTCAGAAACAAACCAAACAGTTGCATAAAGGATAGCAAAGCCATTGAAAAATACGTTTAAAAAAGACAAAGTGTTGCGAGATTAAATCAATTGAGAGACGCAATTACTGCAGGGAAAGTCAAACGCACCGGAGTAAACAAGTAAATACCAAAATAAAGCAAAGATAAAAGCTTTGGATTTCCGAAATGAAAGCAGCTTTATTCAAGTGTGTTTTGAGGAGTGATTTAAAGTGGGGCATAGTAAACATACAAAGCTAAATAGTTTGGCTCCAAGGTGACTGACAAACAGCCTCCCTTTGCTCTCTAAGAGCTCTCCAAAACAGGCTCCAAAACAACATTAATGGACTCCACTTTACCCCACACTGGGATCTGGCAAATGTGTTCCCCTTCACAAACCAGCTCAGTCAACGGTAATCATGAACCCTGACCTCATCTGAGAGCATTAGACTTTTTGGTCTTATGGCCAAGGCTGCCTGGAGAAACTACAGTTATTGAATCACTACATTTTAACATGAGAGGACACGGTTTCTTTTTTTTTTATCTTACTACTGAGCTGCATTCATTTAATACTTACAGTATGCTGTTTATAAAAGACATAAAGCCCACTTGGATCTTGGCCTCTTGTAAGATATTTTACGGTGCAGTGTTTTCATGGCTGCCCTTCCCTGCAGTATGAGTCACACATGCTGGCTTCGATGGTTCAGCTTGACTGTGAGAAAACTGACAAAGAAGCAAAGGGAAAACTCACATCATACTCAGTTTAATTCTTGGATATTTTTCTAAAGCCTCTAACTAAGGTTTCACATCATTTTCTACCGATTATCTGTAATTAACACAAAGAGCTTTTGTCCACTCTTTGACAAAGATGACACTGTAAAGACCCCACTTTTAAATCTAGTCTGAAATGTTGGCTTTTAAAAAAATTATATGAAAGTGGAACAAATGTCCTGAAAGTTAATGGTGGGGTAGGCAGGATCTGTGGAAGTGCCAGTTTTTGGGAGAAATCTTGAATGTAAACTCTTCCCCTCCCAACCAGTTTTCCCCTCAGCTCCTCCTCTCCCCTCCCTCTCTGCTCCAGCAAGCCCCGCCCACAAACAGACACTCCTGCTTGCTTGTATGTTCCAATTAAATTCTGCTATAATGCAGATAAATACTTCAGATAATTACAAATGGGGCCCAGTCAACATGAAAGTAAACCGCATTGGTGCTACTGTAGATGCCAACAGACTACCAGCAAACACAATGTTTGCAGGACTTCTACAACTAGGATAAAGTGACATAGTCCAGGACCCGAGGTAAAAAGTTTAGTGGCGCTACAACACGCAAGACAACACAAGTCTGCCTCACAACCAATCAGACTGGGGCGGTGGAGAACGGCTTTGTTTACAGTCAGAACGCGCGCTCAGAATTTTAAAATGTTGACTACACAGACATAAGAGAACACTGCGATATCGTGATATCCCCTTATGTCATCAATAACTATTCAATACTAATAACTATTGACTGATATTAAAAACTTTTTTGTATATACATATACACCACAAAAAAAGATGCTCCTCAAACAGATTCCCGCCTGCCCCACCTTTAAGGAAAGTTTGCATGGTTCCTACCCAAGTATGGAAAAGTATGGAAGTAATTTGATCAATTTCCAGGTCTTGAAAAGTATGGTAAATGAAAAATGAACAGACTAACAAACTATATTACCACAGTTATAAAATACTGTTTTCTAAAATAGAAAAGTATTTCTAAAAATAATTCTAAGAAGTAGGATATGGAAAAGTTTGGAAATTCTGTGTAGGGCCCCTGAGTTTGGTAACTATCTCGCTGCAAAGAAAGTAATCTTATTCTGAAGGAACATTTCTTAATATACCACTTGTATTCCAAAGATTACCAAATATTGAACTACTTTTAAACTTGTGTTATTGTAAATCATTTTTCTCAACCTCATCGGAGAAGTCTGTGATCTTTTAACCATTAATTTTACCTTCATATTAGTTCTGTGGATCAGAGCCAGAGTATTTATGGGCCCTGAATTCCTGCAGTATCAGAGTGATGAGTTAAACAATAAAGTTGCCTTTGAATCGACTCGTATGTTTGCTTTCGCGAGTGTAAAACACAACACTAAGTCTATACAGCCACGCAGCACTGATGGCATTGAGACATTCGCCCTCGACCCACCCGCCGTCTCCCACACTCCCTATGGTTTGTTTTGGTGTGTGTGAGTAAGTGTTGGTTGTGTGTATCACGTCTTTGCCCTGCGAGACTCCTGCCAATCGATTCAAGGTGAGACCTGTCGATTAAACACCCTGAGCCGTGCTCTCTACCTAACCCCAGGGTGATTCAATCCCACCCCTTACACACACATACACACACCTTTACACAAACACACACATACTAACACACACCCACTTCACCTGTCATCCATCAATACCTCCATCAGGGCCTCTATTGATCCCCTCCATCCAGCCTCTTCACCCCATGCAGTACAACATCAGGGCCAAGACGACGTCTGTGCAGGTTTAATTTCTGACAGATTTACAATAAAGCTCAAGTTAATATTTAACTCTTCCGGCCACAGTGCGCTCTTTGATTTAGCACTCTGGGAGAGGGATGAGTTACAGCTGACACAGAGAATCTGCCGGGGCTGGAATGGTAGGCACCCGGTTCATAACTCAGCCGCCGAATGTGTAGTTAGTCAATCACTTGATCTGTAATCACAAATGCTGCCAGAAATTACATGAGTGATGAGCTGTAATAAAAGCACTTACTTTTCCTGCTCTGTCTCTTAAGTGTTATTGGCAGACCCCTCTCTCCCAGGAGGCCGTGGCTGTGAAACAAAATCCCGATATAAACTGCCTCATTGGTCCCTGCCTCACGCTCTCTCTCTGGTGTACTGTATGTGTGTGTATGTGACTGGGCGTGTGTGTGTCAATGCAGAGCGCTGCAGCTACAGTGTGATACAAAGCTCTTTTCAACACTCTTTCTTCCACTCTTGGATTGCTTTGCTGCGGGACAAATGATCCTCACTCCAGTGCAGATCTGCATCTCTATCATTTATAATGTCTGCAGAGGTGGAGGGAAATGCAATACACCAACAGACACAGTTTTCAAACAGACCCGGCTCTATTAATTGGTCAATAAAATGCATCATAAACATATAGGTTGAAATGTATACCTGTGCAGCCGTTTGTCTTCGCTTTTTCCTGTCCTGACTCTCCTCTCAGCCACCGTGATGCATCAAGTATGTGACCTTATGTTCAGGTAATCAAACATCTCAGGGCAGCGACACGAACCTTTCTTCGACTGTCTGTGACTCCCAGCTCCCTAGCCTTTGGCAGGAGGTCGTGCGTGACAGTTTTATTGATACGGACCCCTGTAATAATTACACAGCGTCTTGCATGCACTATTGATCAGGCCTATTGATAAAATCATATTTTACTGTAAAGGTCTGTTTATTTGATGCATTACAGCATAAATCTCTCCTCACAAGCGACTGATTTGGAACTCCTACTGCTCAGTGATGAATGCTCCCAAACACACACACACACAGGACTGTTTATATCTGTTGTGTGAATGGGGTAATACCAGACATAGGTTAAAGACAGAGATGTTATGATTTCCATATCTTTAGCTCATCTATATGAATCGAGGATTGCATAGATCACATGTGGATCTGCTTTCCTTCCCGGCTTGTATGATGGGATGTAAAAGCGAGGCTGTTTATGGAGTCACTTCTCCATCTTATCATGATTTGTATTGTCAGTGAAGCTGAATCTGCATGGTGGTAATAGATTCTGATGCGGTTCAAATGCCCTGTGGTGAATGGGAAATAGAGATGAATGTGTCAGATCGTGCAGAACTTGTTCTGTGTATAAACGGCGTCTGGAAAATGTTCTCACAGAGGAGGTGGAGAGGATGGATGGTGTGAGGAGTGGTGTGTAGGGAAATGTCACTGCTGGTTTTTTAAACTGGTGAGAATCCTCAAAGCTGACCTCTACAGTCGACATTATGAAATTGATTTGATTTCTGCAGGAGGAATACTGTGATTAAAAAAGACGTTTTTGTCATATCGAAGTTGCATGGAGGGTGAAACGCTGTCTGATGAAGAACTACACAGTGTCAGATATTAAACACTGGTGCCTATGGTGTCACGCATTATCACCCTTTGATCTTTCCATGGAAAAGCATTATGTGTATAATAAAGTAAAAGCACACTTTTATGACTATTGAAGGAGAGGGAAATTTTGGTCTTTATGGCTCAGGTTAAAAGCAGCTTACTAGACCGTGTTTCCGCCTTGGCTTGCAGTTCAAAAGCATGTTTTCTTTCTGGACTTTTCTCTGGCTGGATTGTGAACCACTTGGGGGTAGTTTGCAAAGCCTTTGGTGCAACAGTGACAGGCTGGTTTTCACATTTAAGGAGCCAAAGGGACACTGGGAACATGTTTGTGTTCAAGAGAGGCCTACAAAATCCTGAAAGCCGGGGTTTAGAGTTAATGGCTGGCCCAGTGAAGGTGTCCCCAGAGCGGCTGAACAACCCTCTGACTTCAGCGGAGGTATTTATTTTTGGAGAAGACAGGGAATCCATTTGACCAAATTTTTTGTAGGCACATAAATCTGCTTCAAATTAATACACTGGAATTTGATTTTTAGAAATTACCTTTTTTTTTCTCTTATGCAAACCAAAAACATGAAAACCTTTGAGAAAGAGTAAAACGACGCAGAAGTCCTTGTAAGTAAATTAAAAGAGAGGATGTTCAATAAAAACCACCCAACAAAAAAAGTTCCCCCCTCAGTATTTATGCAGTAAATTAAATATGTTTCTCCTGTGAGATATGATTGATAACATATGGAATCTATTCGTGGAAAAATTGCACATAACTAAAGCTTACCACTAACTTTGAACATACTCACTTCTTGTGTACCACAGCTGTTTGAAATGCTAATACACAGCTTGTGAAATAGCAACAATACCACCAGTGTGCTCCCCAGAGCTGGAGGGAGCAGGCAGAGCAAGACAAAGGCAGTTTTTAATCTGAGCAGGAAGCATAGAGTGGCGATTCACTCTGACATAGTGATTGATATGAGTGAGTAGAGTATTTACCGAGTCTGACGGGATAGCAAAAAGAGACTGTTTTCTTCCTATCCGGGCGCTTATCTGCCTTCATAAATCACTGCCACTAGGATGCATAAATGTGGATGAGAAGATGTTGTATTGCTCTGACTGGGGTGATTCCTCTCTGACCTTTACATTTGGCATTGGTCACTGGTGCTAAATGCTCACCATGACCTATCCTGACCTTGGGCTATTCATATTTAATAGTTATGTTGCCTGATGGGGACATAATACAGAATATGACCACACACACGCCACACAAACGAAACAGAAATATAGTTTGCATAAGAGGTTTTAAAGCCGGGATTTCAAGCAGCACTTTTTTATTTTCTGTCAATGAAAACATCCTAAATGATGAAATGATCCTCCTTTTTTCTCCTCTCATCAGTCTGCGTCTTTATAGCTCCGATTCCATTACCTCCTCACCCAGCAGCATGTCATGATGTCCTATGTCCACCCTAACCTTTGACTCCAGCCAGTGCTTTAAAGGTTCTGCACTTTGCCCTCTCCCATTTGACCTGTCTGAAGTATACCTTTATAATTGTCCCTGTCGCTATCAAATGCACATATGAGAGGGTGCAGGGGCAGGGGGCCCAAGTCTGTCCAATAACCTTTTGGCCTCTTGCCCATCCATTCTGCTCACAGCGAGCGCAGCAGGCCTCCTCCCCCTGCCCACAATCCCATACTGTATTAGTCTGCATGTCGGAGTTATTGATGGTGCTCTGGAAATATTTTATCGGTCAGTCATGACCTTTGACTGGGGCAATGCAAACACTAACCCCCCTAAAGCTCCCTATCGACATACATATATACGATCAGATGGCTAATAGAAGTATAGATCTGGAGTGGCCGAAGAACTAGTCATTTGGATTTTAACACCAGGAGGTCAACATTGCTTTTTTTTTCTTCTGTGCATGTGGAGGATGATTAGAGAAAATTGTATTGAGTGTTTCTTGCAGATTGCAGGTTATAAAGGAAACTGTCCGATACTTAGAAGAAGTAAAAATCAAAGAGAAACAGAGCAGAAAGCAAATACATCAAGAGGAGAAAATAAGTTAGATAATACAAATAAATTTTAATACAGAAGTAATTAAAACAACACACTTTTTCATTTTTTTTCTATCGTAAAAGTAGAAAGAACAAATAGCCAAAGGGCAAATATCACAAACACTACACAATAGTATATCCCTTTCTCCTCCATCCTCCTTTCTTTATTTCACAAACTGTAAGTCTCTTCATCACAAGAGGTGCAGCAGCGCTGAAGCACCCACAATTAAGATAAGCCCAACCACAGCTGGACAATTACCTGCCAACTAACCTTTTCTGAAGCCACTTAAGAGCATGAGGACCCCTGAGGATAGATGTGCCCCAAGTAGAACAAGCACTTCAGCAGGCCAGAGAGAGGGAGGAGGAGGAGGAAGAGGGATGTGTGTGAGGTATGAGCATGCAGAGGTAGAGAGGAGGCAACGATGAGGAAGGGAAAGTGATAGAAACGGCGAAAAAGACAGTATCATGGTGAGATTACCTAATCCTCTGTCTGAGAGTAGTATTTGAAGGACCTGGTGGTGTCAGACATGAGGGGGCTTTGTGCAGGTTTACCCAGGAGAGGCCAGCTTAGCGGGGGATCTAGTGGAGCACCAGGTGACCGGTGCTCTGTCCCCGAGCACAAACCCCAGCCTGTGGCTTTGTAAACACTGTTAAATTGATTGCAGGGAGCTGATGAGATTTCCCTGCAGCCTCGGTCATTATCACATTGTGTACCCGCTCTAACTCACTCATACTGAGCCCCCTATGGATTGTCACTCTGGTTTATGCAGTAATTTTTAATGTAAGTGGCTGTGTTTTCTGTCAAAAGTTCATATATCTGTCAGCTTGTGAATGAATTAGACCGCGGTGGTAGACACGCAGGAATTTTCAAATGTGCCATGAATTTAAAATATGAAAACACTGACTTGAATTTAATTTCCTAATGCTTGTTGCAGCATTTTTTAGCATGGATGAGAGTGTTACAATCTTCCTGCTGCGCAACCCGGGTGAGTTTCAGCGCTGTATGATATCTGATCCCAAAAACCCTGCAGGGCAGCCACAGCAAATCAACAATGGATTAATGGATCTGGTTCTGCTCGTAAATCTCTGTGGGATTGGAAAGCGTTGGAGGACAGTCAGCCTGTAGTGGTGTGCTTAATGTTACAGGCCGTTTGGGTTTCCCATCGTTCAAAGCAGTGACAGGGTAGTAAAGATGTGGCAGCATCTTATGTCTGCGTTAAATCAGTGAATGTCAGGAATGTTGGATTGTCAGTCTGCGGGGCTAAGAGCTGTGCCAACACTGATTCATTGGCACGGATTTGTTTATAAATAACTCCTTTTCTATAGCTCTCCACGTACAGCACAATAACTTCATGCGCGAGACAGAAAAAAGACATGTTGTGCCGACGTGGCCTAATTCAGTCGTGTCAGTACAACCCTTCAACCCTAGCCTGGTGCGGTAAGGCCTCGCCATAGATCACAGTGGTTAACAGTTAGCTGTTCCTGCAGGTGTATAGGGAATGGCAGTAACTGCTTCCATTACAGCAGAGAATGGCCCAACTCCCACAGCCCCCTCCAGACAGCGCTGTCATTACCCATCCATTGTGAGGCCTGAGAGGGAGCTGTAAGTACGGCAGACTTATGGCTTTGTTAGAGTGACTGGATGGTCTCCTCTGGCTCAGGATAAGGAGGGACAACGCTGTGGAAGGATGGCCAGATAGAGTGATAGAGATGGAGCATGAGGATGAATCCAACAACCCCTGATATTACACCAGACCACTCCCCGGTGTGCTCGTGAGTGGAGTGCATCCTGGAGGGTGGGGCGGGTTATTTGGTGCTATTTTTACAAGAAACGGGTTGATTTGTCTTAGGCCATTACCGTCTATTACAGCTGCGAGTCTTGGGGAAAAGGTGGGAAGCGGCAGACGCTGGCATTCTGCCTAAAGAGAAATCAATGAAACAAATTAATCCTTCGCAGGCTGTGGTGACACTGTAATCCATCATTCAGGGGGCGCTTTTACACACTGAATCAGGGAGCGAGGCAGGGAGGTGGAGGGATTGGGGGTCGGTTGGTTGGTGGGGAGCTGGGGTGGTGGGTGGATGTTGTATGAGGAGAGCAGGACTGGGGCTCTGGGGGACAGGGGGAAGGCATGCACGTTCTAGCAACACTGGTGTAGCAGTGGGTGGTGGCAGGGAATCGAGTGGCTCTGGGGCCTTCTACTACATCTTTGAGCCGGCTCTGGACTTAAGAGAGAAAGAGATGTTAGCACTATCAGCTGCACTTGGGACAGGGCGGTGATCGCATACCTTTGCGGCACATTTCCCCCATTGCCTGTTGCTTTCCGCCTGCTTTGACTGTGCGGAGTTGATGGCTGATGGAAGTGGGAGTGTTATATGCTTTATTATTTATTTATACTGGACATAAAGGGAGTAAAGTAGTTTTTAATGTGGAGATTTAACATGGAAAGGGAATAAATGAGGGGGAAACAAGGGTGGGGGTGCTGGAAAAAAGATGCCTCGTCCTTTCAGTAATGTATTAATTTTTCCAAATCTGTTTTCTTATCATCCCAGCTGCACAACTTCACTTTATGGGTATTTTTTCACCTTGATTATCCGAGCAATTACATTTTAAAAACACAAAGACCTACAAACAACTCATTGCCCCCTTCGACTGAAAAAATAGCACGATATACGACCCACCATTTTGCTGTTCGAAGCAGAGAGAGCTGCAAACATGCACCCACATTCGCCACAGTGATGCGCCATTGTGTGGCCAATTAGAGCCCGGATCCATCTGTGTGATTGAGTCATGTGATCAGCTGCCCTGTGAGGAAACAGTCCTGTCCAGGCCAAGATCCATGTGAAGCAGCTGTACCCCTCAGATGAATCACACAACAGCCGACATCAAATGATATCACAATCCAACTGGGAGTGAAGAGCAGAAAAAAGAAAAAAAAAGCACACATACGCACATATCGGGATTGATGTGTTTTTATTAAGATCTTAGCTGTGTTGCATTGCCTTTTAGTAATATTACATCATTATGAGAGCCAGTTCAAGAGCAAGAGCCACTCAGTGTTACGGCTTTGTTGGTCTCCAGGCTCCTTTTGTGGCTCTGATGATGCTCATCGATGGCGACTGCGTGTGTTTTTACAGCAGTGACTTGTAGCCAGAGCTCTGATGGAGGGCGGTAATGCTTAGGAAGCCGGGGTCATTCAGTGAACATTAAAAAAAAAAAACACCCCGTAATGCAGAAACACAACGAGCTGAAACTGTTATTTGCCTTGTCATTGTAATAGAGGGTGCCACTTACCTTAACCAGCTTCCTGAGGAGGAATACCAACAGCTCCGCTTTCCTCCCTAAAGACACAGGTGGTAGCATTCTGTGGAGCGGCATGTTAGAAAATCTGAGAAAATAGTGGGTGGAGAAAAAAAAGAGAGAGAGAGAGAGAGAGAAGGGAAAGGAAAGGGGGGGTGAGTGGATGTGAGAAGGGAGGGAGAGGCTGAGATTGGGCAGCAGAGAGGAAGGGTAATGGGAGCAAAGAGTGGTCAGAGAACAGAGGGAAGGGAGGGGAGGGGATGAAGTGAAAGGATGGAAAAATGTGGGGATATTGCAGCACAGCGGATGGTGTGAGGGAGGCAGAGTGAGAAATGTTGCCGGAAATGCTAGAGCCAGCAGCGTGTGTAAAAAACCACACTGCAACATTTCTCATCCTTGACATCACTGACAAGCTTTCCAAGCACACGCTATGTTCTTTCAAAGTGCACGCTTGTAATATCCAAATCTTTTAGCGCAGCTTTTTCCTTAAGATCATAAATGTTTTGTTTTCTTTTCTTCTGCGAACCAGGCCGATGTCCAGGATCTTAAATTTAAGCAGTGCTGTAATTCATAATTTGAAGGGTGTGTGCTCCAAAAAAGATTCCCACAGCGAATCCAATAAAACATGCTTGTTTGTAATGAGAACTTTCTCTGACTCTCTCTCTCTCTAAGTGCAGGAAGAGACAAACAGAGAGGAGTGAAGGGGTGAGGAATGACGGATATGAGGGGAGGAAGAGGAGGAGGACAGAAGATTGTTGTGGAATGTTTGCAGTTCTGGCCAAAACTCAACCATCTCATTTGTCAGGCCTTGACCCCGGTTGCAGGGTCAAAGGTCAGAGGGAACATCTGAAGGATACGGACTCGGCTATCTCTCATACACACATACACCGACAAGTAAACACACAAATATGTGTGAGAGGGCCTGAGTGGGTCTCTTCTTTGCTGCCTATCAGCTCTCTCTCTCTCTCTCTCATCTGCACTACGTGTGTTTATACCATCATTAATATCCATCCTGCTCTTATTTGTTTTATTAATACTGAGTGTTATGTTGACCTCTAGCTATGAAGAGATGAGCTGCTAGTTTCCCAAAAAGCAGACCGATGGTTCGTTTCCAAAACAAATAATTGAGGAGGAATTTGGATGCTTAGATTCCTCTCTGAGAGGAAAAGCTCAGAATAGTACTCCATAAATACACACTGCAGTATTATTCACTCTTTGAAAAAACAAAATCTGAACTAACCAATAAAAATCAGAGGGGAGAGACTTTTAAAATCTATTCTTAGCCTGGCTATTAATGTACAAATGGTATTTGATTTAACACACATTCAACTGTGTACTCAGCATTTCTTTCCCCCATCACTGTCCTTTAATCAAACACCCTCGCCATAAATTACATCTCATTCCGGTGTCAGTCCTTGCATCACACCGACACGTCCTGCTGTGCGTCCCGAATGCTTCACGGCCATGTCATTCCTTTTCCTGCGAGGAGAGACACACAACACAAACTCAGTCACGATTAGCTCCGCCGAATCAACCACATCAACTCTCTCCGAGCTTCAAATTTCAAATTAAAGCAGGCGGTGGCGATGCAGGTGGCCCGCTTAATCACTAGATACCTGTGAGTCACATGGGGTCACACCTTGTACACTGAAATTTGTAGACTGAGTTACTGCTAAGTCTCGATGATGCACCTACGCACACGCTCGCTGTCTTATGCACAAAATCGCTCTTTTTTCTTATTTAAAAAGAACCCTTATCATTCTTTCTCCCCGCTCCTAAAAAACCAACAGCAGGCACCGGGGCTGGTATTCATGCCTTTTTGAGATGCATCTCAAATCTTACACCTTTGTCATTCTTTGGCCGGAGACATCAAACAGGTGCTATGAATAATTTATCTTAAGAGTTTCACATTGATAAGGTCACAATCTGCCAGGTCTGGACTCTAAACACAGGCCACCTTCACGTCACTGTCTTCTCACACACATGTGCCCACACATGCAAACACCAGACACACACCTTTTAGACAAAACTACACTTAAGCACAGGAGGGTTTTGTCCGTGTCCGTGTGGGTGTGTGAGAGAGATATTGGTATTTTTTTTCTATTGATTATTATTTGTTGTTTTTAAGTTCAATTATATAATTTACAGTGAGATAGGCTGACCAATCTCTGACGTATTTTTACTTTATCATGACTTTAAAGCTACATTTAGGATATACAAATATAGATTTATAGGATAAAATGTGGCACTAACATGTCAAAGGTTGAACTTTTTTTACATCCAAAAAAATCTCTGGAATTTTTTAACATACATAAAATTATCATATCAACTCTTTCCTCCTCTGTGTTTCTGCTCCAGCTTGCTGATGGTTCAGCTACTCTACATTTCCAATTAAGCTCCTGCTGTTTGTTAGTTTTGGGGGGTTGAAGGAGGGGAAATAATGCATTTCCTGACATGATGCCACTCATGTAGTTAGAAAGAGAAAGATGGACAACCAAAAGAGTTCAACCTGAGCGAGACGAGAGAGTCAAACCCAGAGTCAGCAGGAAGTGTGGGACGCATCATGACTGACAGTGACAGCAGAGACAACACTCACTGTAAGTTAGCAGAAGAGAAATGTTGATGTAAAGATCTCTGTAGATGATCCTTTCCTCACTCAGCTCAGCTCACTTTCATGATGTATTTGATGTGTATTTACACACTATAAATATTCATGTGTGTGGAAAACGGAGGGTAAAATCGACCACACACTCCTCAGTGTGACAGTGACAGGATGAACGCTCATTTAGGTCGTTTTTTTGAACACATTCAGGGAATCAACCTTTGCTGTTTGACCCCTCATCCCTCCCTTCCTCTCTCCTCCCTCCTCCTCCCCCATCTCTCTCTCTTCTGTAATAATCGCAACACTTCTTAAAAATTGTTTAGCTCTCCTCTGTGTCGGAGGGTAATCTGCCTCTTTTGTCGCTCGGTTATATTTCTACTGTGTGTTGTCGGATAATGTGAGGATGGGATGAAAGGTAATCTGCGTGCAGAATTCCTAAAGCTCCCTTATCCTTGTTGAATTTCTCAAGAATTCCACCTTTGCCCTCCGGTTTTCCTGAAATAAATTACTTAAAGGGTGGGATGCCTTCGTGTACCCCCTCGTTTTTCCCCCCTCTTTAAACGCAGTCAAACAGGTATTAAGTCTTATTCCAATCCACCCTTTTCCTCTGGGCTGCGTCTCTCCCTGGATACTTCACGGGCACTTTGGGAATAAACGATTTTCCAAACTTGCGTGGAAATAGAAGCCAAAACATTAAAAGTGTAGAGCTGATCCTCACAATGCTGCATTATGCGCACAAAGTAATATAAACAAGTCGATTATAAACCCAAACACGGGCTATTTATCAGATATTTTTGCTGTCAGTTATTTCTGTGTGATGCTCTGTGTATGTGTGTGTGTGTGTGTTTGGGCTCAGCTGCTGATTGATAAACTCCGGGTTTCCTCTCTCTGAAGTCTGTCTCCCTTCATGTAGCTTCTGCTCCTTTAACTTTGGTTTTTTTTTTCGGTGTAGTACAAAATTACAGTGTTTGCACTGTGCAACCACGAGGGTTTGGGTGCTAATGGATTTATAATCTCCGTCTCTGGGACCATCTAAAGTAATTAGCACATAGGCTCTGAAGAAATGATGGTTAGTGAGCAATAAAGCCATTGCCCATAGCTTAAAGTGACAGTCCCTCCAACTTAACTCCGACCTCAAGACTAATTGGGAAAGTCACTGCAGATATTGTCGTCAATTATAGTCTGAGATTCCGGGTAAAAAAAGAAGAAAAAAACCTGGAAAGACATTTAAGGATCTGGAATCTCTAGAGACGAGAGGCCAAACTGGAAATAGAGAGCAAATCTGCACACAAACAAGGAGGACTCACACTGCAGGGTGGTGTTATTTTACAATAAATCAATCAACTTCTATTTATTCACATATACATGTTTTCATAATCATAATTTCATGCTAATTAGAAAGTTATAAATGCACTTGGCTAATGTGTGAGTACTGATGTTGACTCCTTTGCTCTAAATACAAACTTTTCACTTTTCCACGTCTAATTAAGAGCCATGTTATTTAGTGCAGCTCTCTCTCTTGTTGCCTGTTAAATGCCTCGGTCTTAAATGCCTTGTAGCCCATAGGCTCAACGATATTTCCACTATTTCTCACGAATGGCCTTTCCATTAAGAGCGATTAGATTATGTCTATTGAAAGTTGCTGATCCATAGAAAAAAAGCCAGCGGATAAAAGGCGATTTCAAGTGACCTTCTCGTCCCTTTCACACCAATCTGAGCCCCCCAGAATAATTTGGGGATCAGATTTGGACAAAAAAAAAAGAGCACCCTTTACTAACCCCCCACCCCAACACACACACACACACACACACACACACACACACACACAGAGCTCTCACCCCTCCTCTCTTTCAACACACAACCTCTCAAAGCAGTTCAAACATTAGACTTGGATTTTTTTTCAATTAGTACTCATAAATATATGACAGTGTTTGTGTTTGTTAGAAGCTCACTCATGCGCACGACGATTGCCTGCTTTTTTCCACGTGCAATTTTTTATAGTGGTGGTGCAGAAAAAGTTGCATCTCTACACGATAGTCAGTGAAATTTACAGTTTCTAATCTGTGTCAAAGTCACAAAAGGAAGTGGGCCTTAATGTCATTATTTTAATTCTAAGAGTTGAGCTTTATTTAGGGAAAAAAAGTTCCCATATTTATGATTATTGATTGCTTTTATGTTGAGAATTATCTTGCAAACAATTTAAAAATCTGACTGAAACAAATCCTTATAAGATGTTCAGTGTCTAACATTGTCTTCATGTGCCATCTATCCTCAAAGATGCACTCTGCCCTCATGTTTGCAAGATTTTCTGCTATAGGCTGTGAAATTATTTAAAATAAGCTTCAAACTGACATCTTTAAACAAATTAAACGGTGTAATCTCGGTGATTGCAGAGCATGGCTTAATCTCGAATTAATTTATTATTAATAAGAAATGACGTTGGTGTCAGGCTGCTGCAGGCAGCGCAGAGTCACAGTCCAACAAGTGTGAAAATAGTTTGAAGGTTTGCAGCTGCATCTCGTTGAAACACACACTCCACAGTCACAGTGTGTGTTATTCAAACTAGCAGGTCCCAATAAGAAGATGTGCATGAATCTGCATTGTTTTGTTCCACTTATTATTGTCATCTTAACTGAGATTGTGCAGACTGATAGAGGTTAAAGTGGCAGAGCCCCCCCCCCCTGGAAAAAAGAGAGTCACTTTAAACCTATACGGTATTTTTTTGTCTCTGAGTATAACCCTAATGTGATCACACGGTCTGTAATAAACATGCTCATCATTTAGCCTCGTTTTCAGAGCTCTGAGCACCGTCTCACACTGCTATTGTTTTATACGTGTGCCCTGCACCTCTGACCTCAGTGTGGTCCGGATTGATTCTTGCTGCTTGTAGGTTTTTTAGCTCTGCTGAAGCTGCCCTCTATCATCATACTGTATCTGTGTAAGAAGGGGATCACTTATTAATGAACACAGATTTGTCAGAGCTGTTTCTGTCTGTCCTTATTAATATTTCCAATGATGTCTTTGATAAAATAATACAAAAAATCTCATCCAGAATAACGTGAACTCCTTATTCTTGGATTATTGGATTTTGATGAATACAGAGGTCAGTTTGGTTTAAAACTCTCACATGAATAATTAAATATTCCTCATCAAATTATCACATTAAAGTGAAGGTAATGCGTAAATGTGCTACCTGAAATACATATTTTAAATTATAGTAAATATTCATACGTCTGAGCGTGGTATAAAAACGTGCACATTTCAAATGGTAGAATACTTAGAGAATAGGAAATGGAAAATTAATCTTGTTTGGCTCACAGGAGATAATTAATAAGCATGAGCTTTCTGCACCCATAGGAGAGGATTAAGTAAAATGTTATTATGTAAGGTTATTCTACTAAACTGATTGACGTGCTGTTTGTCCTGGAAGAACTTAACACGGCTTGCATCGTTTATTTTCTCTCACTTTCACTTAAGTCCCTGAAGCTCCAGTATTTCTGCTTTGATAAATCATGCACTTTTTAACGCCATATTTTACCAATAAGACATTTTCTGTGCGTTACATTTTGCGCATGTGACCGGATTATGGCACAAACTGGCACTTTGGAGAAAAACTGCGTAAAAGATGGACACCGGCTGCTGTCCTTGATCAGCCTTTTAATCCGGTGACACTATCTCACAGACAAACAGCCTCATATCGATCTTTTCATTAGGTGTTCGAACAACAAATAGCCTCGCAGGTGAGGCGCACGCGACGTGGTCCAGCGGTGCCACAAGCATGCAGCCCCCCACCTTGGAATAACATTTCTGCTATCTTGATGTGCACATCAGAGAGGACAGCTGTAAGAGAGAGCTCGATAATCGGCGATAATGTGGAGGGAAAAGACGCGAATTGAAAAGTTGTGACTTTGTGAGACTCTGCCCCGGGTCTAAAGTTAACGGTCATGTGGCGTGACAGAGAATTTAGCCTCGCGTCTTGATCCACGCGTGTGCAGTAGTGCTTCTGCTGCTGAAGTGAGAAATAAATATTGTACTTGCCTTATCTATGGGGCTGCTTTTATCCCGGTGGAAAGCTGCTCCTCTTCTTGCAAACCTCTCCTCGTCTCTCGCTCTTCTTCCTCTTCTTCTTTTAATGTCCTGCTGTCCACTTTCTCCTTTTTTCTCTCGCCGCTTCTCCCCCAAGCTTTCTATTAGAGCCCCCTTCCCTGCTCCCCATTCGCTGCCCCTCTCATTCTCACTCTCCTCTCTCCTCGTCTTCTCCCGCGGAGCCCCCTTTTTTCCTATCTGTGGAGTTAAATCTTAATGATACACTTACAGAAAGAAAAGAAAAATCTTTGTCCGATTTAATCTTATTGGTTTCACCTTTTTTCAGAGAGCTGAAGATATGGCCGGGGAGCTTCAGTGGAGTGTCCGAGACGAGGACGGGGAGAGAGAGCTCTCTTGTTGAATACTTAAAAAACAACCCATCCCTCCTATGCGTTTCCAAAGGGGGTACTTGCATATTTACGCTCCATTATATCTGCTCGTACCTCAGTGTGCACAAACATCTGTAAACACCACTTTGTTTCTTTTTTACTTTATTGGGATATAATGTGTTATGGACAGTTTTTAATCTTTTCTAACTCGGTGAATTATCGTGGTTTTTTTTGGAAATCAAACACACACACCACTTCGGATTCTCTTTAAGTGCTATACAATCATATTATCAGTGACCCTTCTAGACCAAACTCCTATTATGTTTCATTAAATCCTTTATTTTTCATTGTTTCTTCAAAGTTTCCACTCCCCTTACCCGACATGAAAAATCCAAAGATTGTACTTTTGAGCAAAGTAAAAAAGGACAAAGTGGTGCAAATTATCAAATTGAGCCTAATCGTATTTTTTTATTCGACTTTTTAGCTTTTAAAAAATTCATGTTTCATGACTCGTGCATGCATTAATAGGAGGATGTAATTGTACAACGTACGCTAGATGGCAGCGCGATCCAGACATTTCAGAGTTGGAGAGGTAGTAAGCCTGCAGAAACCCTCGTACAAAAAAAAAGCTGGAATCCCCATGCAAATTCCCTGCAACTTCACATGATTTTGAATTACTGTCATTATTAAGACATAATGTGACACCAGCTCAGTGATTGTGCAGACTGTAGGACCCCGGTAATTATTGAATATTGCTTATTGCTCCGTCTAATTTCAGATTTTTTCTCGACCGCTGGCTCGGCAGTCCGTTTGTATAACACACCGTCTCCTATGCATCATTCTTCCCACTGACATTTCACTCTCTTTATGGGCTCGTTTTAACTAAATTGTAAGTTTCTATCAGCGAGACTGTGCCGATTACAGGCGAGGATGTACCGCAATGCGCATGCCAAATACAAAACACTGTGTGAAAATACAAATCCGCCTCAAACCAATAATGACATGCGCTAATTTTATAATAAAGATACTAGTCCAAGACGAACCATTTGGAAACTTTGGGGAATTTCTGAGCCATAGTCCCCCCTATCGCCGCTGCGCGTAGTTTTTTGGCTTATTTGTCGTGCGTAAAAGCTTTGTCCCCCCTTGCCTTTACCCCGCTTTTTCTGCTATTCTATTCAGGGTTTCTTCCTCTTTTTGGTGACAATAGACGGCCCATACTAATCAGGTTTCAAAGTAAATAGCAGCGCGGGGCGAGCTCAATGTAAATTGTGCCTGTCAGAGCCCCCCAGCCCCTCCAGTCGTAGATGGCAACACTGCAAAAAATATCCCCCTTCAGACGTCAGGCAGTGGACTATTGAGTCTGGAAATCTTGGATTTACCGGCGCAGGAGACTGAATCTCACATCGGGACGAGATGTTTCCACTTGTTTCTCATGCCAGTCGACCCATCAGTGTACATTTTATTCCATCGACTGTTTATTTCTGAAGGAATCTCCCCGTGCGCTTCCTATTCCGAGATATCGACTCTTAAAATTCTACAAACAGCCGGGATCGTGATTGGAAACCAGTGGAGTTGTGTGCGCGACACTTCTATATTTTTTTTTCCACCGTGTTTTGAGAAGAAATAACATTTTGAGAAATGAACACGAGACCGAGTGACTTATCTGGATGGACATTTTTTGCAGTGAATGAACGGAGGGGGACTCTAACCAATGGAGAGAAAGAGAGGGCTTGGCTATAACCTTAGCCTCCCATTTTCTCTCTCTCCCTCTCGCCCCCCTCTCCTCCTCTCCTCCTCCTCTATGCAGGGCTCTGGCCAGTCAGTCGCCTTTGATTATCAGTCTCCAGCAGCCCCTCTCTTGGCTCCTTGACATGAGCACCATATAAGGCGCAGCGATCTCCATAGAAACGTGTCAGTTTCAATAGTAGTGTCAAAGTTCACTATATACAGACATTCGCGCAGATCCCCCGTTTCGGAAACATTGCTCTGCTGGTCCTCTCGTTTAAGCGCATTCATTTTTGGGTCTCTCCTTCTTCTTGCATATTCTATTAGTTGTTGCTGATGGTCTTCTTTTTTATCTTTTCTCTTCGTATCTCCATTCCTCCTGCTGGAGAGAGGTGAAACTATACATGGGCACTTCATTCGGCGACGCGGTTTTCTTTCGCTGCCTGGCGAGATGATGAGCTTTATTTAAGAATATAGATGTAAAAATCCAGCTCTTCAGTTTTTCCTCCCCTCCTGTACGACGAAGACGGGAGCGTAAAGGAGCCAGGGGAAGAAAAGAGAAAGGAATTTATCTCCGCAGCACTTTGGATCGCGTGTCTTTCCAGCAAAAGGTTTTTTTTTTTACTCGTTCCTGCGTCCATGTGAATCGCTCCTGCCTTTTTCTTTTGTGGCTATTTTACATCAAACTGCAATTTGCTCCGTCTGGACTCGGGTTTTCCTACAAGATTAGGGATTCCTGAATGGCTGACTGCAATTTACCTTGGAACTGGCCTCCCGATACTTGCATATCCTGATCGGGTGCCTATTCAATCGCCCTCCTGTATTTTGAATGTATTGATCGCGCTGTTCTCCCCTTCTTACCCCATATGAGATTGCGTGCTCCGATTTGACTTTGCACTGCCCCGTCTTTTGAGATCTCCTTTTTTCCCTCCTCTACGCTTCATAAACACCGGCGATCATTTCGCTCTATAGCACTTTCCGGGGCCGAGATATGGCAATGGTAGTTAGCGTCTGGCGAGATCCGCAGGAAGACGTGGCCGGAGGACCTCCGAGCGGCCCCAATCCAGCAGCGCAGCCGGCAAGGGAGCAGCAGCAGGCGGCGTCGGCGGCGCCGCACACTCCGCAGACCCCCAGCCAGCCGGGACCCCCGTCCACACCGGGGACCGCCGGGGACAAGGGGAGTCAAAATTCTGGACAGAGTCAACAGCATATTGAATGTGTTGTTTGCGGAGACAAATCGAGCGGCAAACACTATGGCCAGTTCACCTGCGAGGGATGCAAAAGTTTCTTCAAGAGGAGTGTACGGAGGAACTTAACATACTCATGTCGTGCCAATAGGAACTGTCCCATTGACCAGCACCACCGAAATCAGTGCCAATACTGCCGGCTGAAGAAGTGTTTAAAAGTGGGAATGCGGCGGGAAGGTGAATATATATTTTAAAGCCCACTCATGATCACTCATCTTAGCAGCAGACACACAGGGCTGCCATGTTGCATTAAGGTCACCGTCTATACGGCTGGGCATACTGCAGCCTCCATCCATGTTTTTTAGGGATGTTTGCATGAATGATTGGACTGTGTTCCTGTGTGGGAGAGGGCTAAAAGGCCAGTGCAGCCAAAAGCAGCTCTGCTTTGGAGTGCAATGCTCGCCCTGAACAAAGCGGCTCGTCCAGATCAGACCTTTTATATTTTGTTTATTTTCTCGCTCACTAAATTCTACAATAATCCACTAAAAGCAAAAGGCGAAAGAGACGCTTTTTACGCGTACGTTTGAAGGCAGAAGAGAGGTGTGTTTGAGAGTGTGTGTGTGTGTGTGTGTACCTTGATGTCTGTCTGTCTGTGTGTTTGTGTAGTGTGTGTGAGTGTGTGTGCAAAGCTAATGGTCTCTTCCATAAGTACATGCTGCTTACTAATTTATAATAATACAGCAGGGTTTGTAAACAGTGTGTGTTCATTTTTCATTCACACACTTACAGACCCACGTCTCTCTCTCTGGCTCCTCGTGCTGACTAGACAGCTCACACACTCTGAATAATGCCGCTCAAGTTGTTGAGGGCTCATTGTTTTGCCTGCTGCATTACAGGCCGTATAACTTTACCCTCTGTGTGTGTTAACCTTTGGGTTTAATTCCAATTCATGCAAACATCCCCAATTTTAAATATGGTGCACGCCATAAGCACATGGATGGTGTTAACTGGGTTACATGAATATTTTATTTTTAATACTAAACAATAGCAGAATCTCTTTTATTCCCAGCTGACCTTTTGATGTGCGTAAAAAGTGTAACCGTGGTAGCTTTTATCTATATTTATCAGTATTATTAATAATTTGTTCAGCCTCGTTTGGGATTTTTTTCATATAGATAGCAAGACACTAAAATAGAATTATAAAGTAATTGGAGGGGGCGACGTGCAACGTGCAGTTACGCTTTGAAATAGTCCAAATGAGACATTTATTCAGAAAATATTTGTAAAACAGGAGATATGTGTGTTTTTGCTGCATGAAAGTGCACATTCACACACACCTCATGTGGCGTACATCTCCAAATACAAATGTAAACAGTATGGAGGTTAGAGACTGGGCACATCTGTTTTGATGAGATGTTTAGGCTGTCGATAACCTAAATAAGTCATCTCTGCGATATTACAGCCCAACAAACAGCCCACTCCAGTCAATATGTTTGGAAAGGCGTGCTGAATTCAGATTTCAGTGCTTGCCGTCTCCCTGAGAAGAAACACACTAGCTGTAGCCTGCTTTACGCTTGTAATACTCATGAACAATGTTTGTCAGTCCTGGATGCACATTTCCTCTTTTTCTCTTTCTTTTTGTCAGCGGTTCAGCGAGGACGAATGCCTCCAACCCAGCCCAACCCAGGCCAGTACGCGCTGACGAACGGGGACCCTCTGAACGGCCACTGCTATCTGTCCGGATACATCTCGTTACTGCTGCGGGCCGAGCCTTACCCGACGTCCCGGTACGGCAGCCAGTGCATGCAGCCCAACAATATCATGGGCATCGAGAACATCTGCGAGCTGGCAGCTCGGTTGCTCTTCAGCGCCGTGGAGTGGGCGAGAAACATCCCTTTCTTTCCCGACCTGCAGATCACCGACCAGGTGTCCCTGCTCAGGCTGACGTGGAGCGAGTTGTTTGTGCTTAACGCGGCCCAGTGCTCCATGCCTCTGCATGTGGCCCCTCTGCTCGCCGCGGCGGGCCTCCACGCCTCCCCGATGTCTGCGGACCGGGTCGTGGCTTTCATGGATCACATCCGGATCTTCCAGGAGCAAGTGGAGAAGCTTAAGACCCTGCACGTAGACTCGGCAGAGTACAGCTGCCTGAAGGCCATCGTGCTTTTCACATCAGGTGGGTGTCACACGTAGGAACATGGTACCAGATGAGGCCTACATGCACTCTTGTAACAGAGAGAGAGGAAAAGGCTGACAAGCTTAGGCTGGTCACCAATCTGACTTTACGAGATGTCTGTGTTGCCGGTGGATCAGCAATTTAGTCAACAGCTTGCTTCATATCTACTTACATGCATTCCCATGTCAGTTGTAGCCGCAGCAGAAGACGTGTAAACAAACCCAGATTGAGTGAGCGCATCAAGTTTTTCTATTGCAGCACTCAGACTAATGTTTGTAAAATTTGGAGATAGTTAAAAAAAATCGCACATATGTGAATATTTCATAATTGTCGAGTTAAAACTTTTTTTGAGCACGTCTGAACTGAGAGTTTGTAGCTCCGCGTCTATAAATTTTGGAACAGGTGTCAAATAATTGAGCGTAAAGATGAAATAGAGTATCAGTGGGTGATATATGACAGCTGATGCTTTTATGGGTGTTGCTGCATGCTTTTATCCTTGTTTTGCGTGCACAAACACATGTCTTGGGGGGGTTAGGAAATAATCCTTAGCAGACTGAGATCAAAAAAGCTGATGAAAGTTGACTCATGTGTCAGTGCATCGCTTCTGTAGGACGCAGAGAGGCACTGCTGTATAGACTGTGTGTAGATTCCTCTCAGCTGACCTATTAATTTTCTAACTTTACTGATGGCCGTCTCGCGCTTTGAAGAGTCAGCAGCAGTTTATAAAAGTAACCCCTCATTGTTGATAGCTTAATTGATGGCTGACCGGGGGCAGGGTCCTGGTAGGTCCTCATTTGCTCTTCGTGCGTAAGTTTCGGTGTTGTGTTTGAGTTTGCTCTGTACGCTTATTGGTGCCATCAGGCCCTATTTTTTTGTCAGGAAAGAGAAAGTCTGAAGTCACCCACAGGCCCTAAACTAGTTCTAAACTTGACTCAAAGTTTTTACCTCGCTGTGTTAGATTTGAGCCATGACAAAATTCTGTAAAAAGCGCGTTTATTTCTTACAATTGAAGACGTTCGTGATAAAATTTTTGATTTTTTTGTAGTTTTTTCAGATTTTGATTTCTATTGCAATTACTCCAATCTTAAATACCCATTGTAAGCGTCATAATTTAATTTTAGCGTCTATGTAAATATCATTTTTATTATTTATTTCATTTGTAGGTTATGTTCAATTGTTTACAAAAACCAACTTTAACACTTTTAAATTATATAATTATTGTACCATATTAGAAAATTGCTAATAAACTCTCCAACACTATATTTAGATATAACTCCCTCTGAATATTATCAGAATCTGTTTAATCTCAACTCTAACTTTTCGAGTGCTCTCCAAACATTGTAAATAGGAAGTCAGAGATTATATTCCAGCCTACAAAACCACTCTCAACATTCAATTTTCCTCTGTTGGCGGATACGACATCACCACATAGGTTTCCCTTTAGTTCAAGCACTTTCTATTTTTTTTATATTTTTAGTTTCAGCAGCCATAATAACTACTTTTTAGCTTTGAGGTTTGGCAACTATATTAATTTGACACGCCAAATTTTGGAGGCACCCTGAGAGGTAAATATACGTTTTAGCATAGATAAATATGATTCTAGCTTTAGTTTCCGTTCCAAAGTAATGTGACATCCTGGTGGATTATTTTACCGTGAGAAATGTCATATTTGCCTTTATTTTCCCTCCTCCACGACGATCTCAGATTTACCCACAGAAACTTCCTCCACTCTCCAGCATCCAGCACGTCTCGAACTTCCATTTCAGTCAGGTTGATCGAGGCTGAAGCTGGTGTGAGCTTTAACAAGTCATGTGGCACTTTGCCAGGAGCAGTGCGGATTGTTTGCCTTCAATAACAGCACACTTTGTCAGTATTTGATGCATAAATAATGGCGGCCATGGCTAAACTATTTCACCACAGTTCAGGATCATTCATACATTCACTTATTCTCCACATACGCACAGTGCAGTGTGTGCTTTCAGTCACCCACCACAGAAATAGCCGAATCTGGAAGCTATCTGCTCCCATGTCTCAGTGTATAGAAGTGGAGGGGTGCAGGGCTTGCAGGCAGGCCTAATGGAGAACTATGGGATGTCTTTGACCAGCTTTCTCTTTGCGCATACACCCAACTGCAGTCTAGTCCCCTCTCACACAAAACTCTCACGCCGCTGCAATGCAACACCTCTGCGTTCACTATTTTCATATATGTGTTTTTATTCCACTGAAAACATTCAAATGTAATTTAGAGCTCAGTCTTATTGATTCTTGTAGGTTTTAAAAAGGAGACACTCAGCGTTAATCCAAAGACATTTGCATACATGGGGCCCTGACCGACCGGACTGAGGTCACAGTAAATCACCCCGAGATCTCCGAGTTGCCCCCGGGTTCATAAGGTTATTGTGTCTGGCCTTAGTGAGTTATAGCGCAGAGAAATCACGACTGGGCTTAAAAGCCTCTGTCCGTCGTTTAATGTATTAGTGCTTGAAAGCTAAAGCTGTCTTTCTTGTTGTGTAGTTTCTACAAAAGCAGAACACAGTCTTTTCAGGACTCCATGTGGAACCATATACGCCGGCGGTTATGCAGCCTGCGTTTACAGCAGTTTATAAGAGTGGGACACGCATGCTTGGGTTGTGTGAAGAAGAAGAAAAAAAAAATAACACTCCTCTTCTCTAACAAGCTTTATACGCTTTTGTCTATACTGAAGCGAGGCTGCAGGAGGCTGCAGGAGCCACCAGTGAGCAGCAAAAAGCACGTCTCGCCTGCGTTGCTGCACAGGCTCATATTCTGACATTTTATGTCGCTTCTGCGTGACTATTGACTTCACCTCGTCTAATAAATGTGATTGCTTCCAGCGGCCTGTCCTATAGGCTCCATGGAAAACAGGCCAAGAGTGGTCTATGGAGAGCAGAACGGCGAAATGACTTAACAGCTTACTGCGGAGTAATTAGGTCACATTACATCCAGTGTAATTTCAGATTCATCAGTGTCGTTTATGTTGCCTTACACTTGAAGCCCCAGAGTCCAGACACGGAGAGCAGCCACCTTTAGGCCTATAACCCGCTATAACCCACTGTAACCCACTATCACCCACCTTTCGCCCTTTGCTCCAGTGCCCCATCAGACCTTACTGCACGCGCTCACAGTGCTGTTTTCGTGACATTTGGCTCCCTATTCTTCTTGATTGACGGAAATACAGGCAAGAGATATACCCTCCACCTTCCCCAGCAGAGAAGCCCCCCACCACCACCCACCCACCCATCCCTGTTTATTCTGTATGACAGTCCCACTCGCTCAGTGTGATGTAGCATGTTTGGCCAGTATGTTTGTTCATTCCTCTTTGTCAATAACACGTAAAGGCTGATGTTGAGTGATAACCAGCGTGCTTTTGCAAGGTGTGCACCAAAGCGTAATCCAATGACCAGTTAGAAAAACAGCGAATAACACACAAGTCTTTTCATTTAAAACAATAAAAAACTAAATATGTATTTAAAATCATTGTCTCTAAGGTGTGTATGCCTCTTTGCGAACTTGGTGACCCCTTGACTCCTTTGATTTATTTTAATAATACTGTATTTAATTCTGTATTTCCAGCCAACACTTATTCTATTACTTGTTTCTCTGAGTGTTAACAGTAAAATAATATCACATCCAGACAATGTTCCACTGCAGCTCATACCTTGGGGTTTTCAGGGACGTGGCGAGCCTAACCACAGTGTGTTTTTTGGTGTGTGTTTCTCAGACGCTTGCGGCCTGTCGGACGCTGCTCACATCGAGAGCCTACAAGAGAAGTCCCAGTGCGCCCTGGAGGAGTACGTGAGGAGCCAGTACCCGAACCAGCCCAGCCGCTTTGGGAAGCTCCTTCTGCGGCTGCCCTCACTGCGCACCGTCTCCTCGTCGGTAATCGAGCAGCTGTTCTTCGTCCGCTTGGTAGGTAAAACTCCTATTGAAACCCTCATCAGGGATATGCTATTATCCGGGAGCAGCTTCAACTGGCCTTACATGTCCATCCAATGATCCTTATAAAGAAAGTGGAAAAAAGAGAGGAAAAAGGACCAAAATTCAGCAGCCCTCACCCCGTCCTCCTTCAAGAAGACTATATATAGGACCTTTTCTGACAAACTTGGAAGACATTACTTTTTTTCTGTCTTCTGGGACTGATATGGAATACATTATGTACAGAAAAATATTGGAACTGGACTTTACACCTGTGTAAATCCACCCTCATCTTCAAGAACAATACTCTTCATTTTGTAAAATACTAGTCTTTATTTTCCTTTTTTTGTAAAAAATACAAATAAAATGAAAAACATCATATGCGCAGTAAGAAAAAAAGAATCAAGACTTAGCGGGAAAATAATGTTTCCAAGCAATTATAAGAATTGTCCTGTGTCTATGTACCTCTCTGTTTTGTATTTTTTCTGGTTCTAAACCAGGGTTTCTGTGATTCTATACTAATAATTTTTTGATATAACCTTTTGCTTCTTATAATGAGTGCGATATATGTTGTCGAAGCTATGTTCTCCAAGAATTAAAATTGAAGTGAGAATTTAAAAACAGAAAAATAAAGAAATTTAGACAAATAAGAAACAGTCTAATCGCTATGACAATATCACCACTGATGGTTGAACTTTTTTTTCCCAATTGAAACAATGGACCTGCAACAGCAGCAAACTGACCTCCAGGACATTTTTAACTGAGAGGACGTCAGGGGCGCCTTTTCCCCGGGCCACGAGCGCGCGTGGAGTCGATCATCAGTCAAAGAGGAGAGACATGAAAATCAAAAGCACTTTTAATATATCATTTCAAATACATTTTGTTTGTTTCGTCTTGAAAATTTTCATTGTTTCTTGAATTTTATTGGTTGTTGCCTTCAATTTGCTTACTCCATGATGCAGCTTTTTGCAGAAGGGTCGGTTGATGAAGTTGTGTGATGGTGACTGTACTATTAAAAAAAGAAATAGGCAACGATGTCTCATTCTCAAGCATTTTCCTGGGAGCAAATGTCAAGGTGCTTGGGCTTATTTTATACAACCGTCTAAAGGGGGAAATCTGCTGTCTCTGTGCGCCAGTGCAGCCGTATCTTACACTCAAACATGTCATTCTGGATACACTGTTTGCCTCTGTTACGAGGTGATACAACGGGATTAGGCGTGCTAATTACACAATCGTTGCATACCTTACATTTGAACAAACCCACTGACATAACTGGCGAGCAAAAAAAAACGCAGGGGCATGCTATATACGTGAGGAACCACAGCAGTGCGCTCTGTGCCAGCTCTGTGAGCGCATTAATGTTTAATATTTTTCCCAGACAGCAAGGAAAGCCTGCGCAGCACACAGAGCAACATCCATCCTCTATACCTCCTGTGGCTTAATCAAGGTGATTCTCCTCAAACCAAACAATACACCCCTCCCATCTCCCCCCTTTTCCTTAAAAAACTCTGCCTTGATAGTGCATGCCTCAATATTGATGTGGGCGTCATTTGGCAAAGGGTTAGGCCCCGCTGCAAAGCTGCTGTGATATGCGTGATCAATCTGGAAAATGTATTTTACAGCATGTAAGCCAGTCGATAGGAACACCGAGTGTGATGCATTGTGTGGGAATGGAGAGGGAGGGAGAGAAAAGGAGAGAGAGGGAGTGGAGAGACTATGGCTAGTGTACATGTGCGCGTGAAGGAGACAGAAAGAGATGTGGCCTTGCTTTGCCTGATACATTCACAATGTAATGAGTACATCGATAAGTCCTCAATGTGTTAGATGGCACACATAGAGTCCCTGTCCTTGTATTGGTCTGTCTCTGCACGTGTGCGTTCCCTCTTTTTTTTTGTCTCCAGGAAGCCCAGCTATGGACCCAGATCTGCACTCACTGTCATTACTGCCTTACACTCACACCTAGAGTGATAAAATGTGATAAACTGGAAGGCGTTATGAAGGAGAAAATGGGGTTTCGGTGTGACAATTATTACATTTGCCTGTTAGCTCTCTCTCTCTCCCCGCTCTCCCCTCTTCTTCTTCTTCCTCATCATCAGACGTGTTGCTTGTGTGCCATATTGCCCACATCTTCCTCTGCTGACTGGCAGCGATGAGGAGCAGGAGGACAGGAGCAGGGCTGCATGCAGCACGTTGCTCTGTCTGAGTTTGATATCGCCATATTTGTTATCTGCCTTATAAGAGTGGGGGGAGGGGTATTTGTTTGTATAGCCTGTCTCCTTCAAAGGCTACAATATGAAGGTATTAATTAGCTCGCGCTCGTGCTGGAGGGATGCTATAGGTTGTGCTTTAGGTTTGTCCTCAGATGCTCTCTCTCTCTCCCTCTCTCTCTCTCTCTGGAATACACTTTTCATTCTCGTGATGAATGTGTGTTCAGGCAGATTGTACCTATTAGCTCCCAATCGACCTGTCTGCAGCGCAGGGTCAGTTTGTCAGGCGCCTTGTTGTTGCTGTAGCTACTGTACAAACATAAAACGTGATATTTCTGCAGGTTGGGTCGTTGTCTTCTCGCTGTGGAAAGGAATCTCGCGGTGCTTTAGGTTAAGAAGAAGAAGAAGAGTATAGACCTTTACTTTCGGATTTACACCTGTACGGGCGAGCTCCAAACGCAGCCTTTATCACATGGAGGGTTGTAAGCACTGGACTCATCCAGCCTGTTTGTCTTTATCTGATATTTTTTATTATTATCACTTATAATCCAGAGGATCGTTTACTGGACTGCATGAGCGAATAAATGTTTATATTTTACAAAGAGAATGAGTTTGGCTTCACCCCGGCCATCACAACAGTCCAGGTCGTTTTTGTTTTATGTAGCTCTGGACTAAATTGTTTGTTGGGTTATTAAACGCAGCTTTCAGCCGCTTGTCTCCACATAATGTATTCTAAATCCCTCCAGACTAACTATCTTTTATCCTCTTGCTGAGAGCATTCGGTTATACAATTGTTACACTACAGGCTATATAAAGCAATAGTTCAGAAACAGATGAAACGGTGGCATGTGTTCCTAATTAACGTTTCTGTTTGGGCAATACAAACAAAACGCACGAGGACTCCAGGAAAAGATTTATTTCTATTTCTGCTGTGGATCATTTTCGACTGTCTCTTTGACAGGGGGCTTAAATTAGAACATTATGCAACACTCTAAATACTGAAACAATCGGCTTCAAATACCAGCTATATTTTCATTATTTTGTATCCTGTTCTCGGATGATGACAACATCATCACTGGTCTGCTTCTATTCTATTAAATAAAACAAGAAAAAGGAAAGGAAGGGGCACTAAGAGAGAAATAAAAGCTCTGTCAGATCGGTCTGTAGCTGCGGTGGGTAAGAGAGATGGATATGTGGCACACTGTGGGCCCCATTTGTGTCTCTGTAATTTCGGAAACTCCGGTTACCAAAGTGTTACTACGAAATGAGTTAAATAACCATTTACCTTTGTCTGGTTTCATTCATCAAACCACAAGTGGAGGACTCCTAACACGGGGGGCTATTTGTTTGCTTTACACAAGCAGCTGGGTGCGATTTCACGTTTGAGATATCTGTCTGAAAGCGAAACATTTATTATCCCAAGTTGTCAGCGAACCTATTTCTCCACAGCCCTCAGTGCACGCGGCAGGTTTTATGCAGCAGTGGAAACGTCCTATTGGCGTCACACGTCACTTCATTTCACTTATAGCAGCCCTAGTTTCTCCTCTCACATTTGACAAATACTGTTGTTTGAGACAATAACAATTTCCAAATAGCGGCTCCGTGTATGAATGGGGGGCCCTGTGAAGTATGACACGGCTTATTTCTCATATTGTCTTGTGCGTAAAAATGATGACAACACGGGACAACAAGTGCTGCGCCGCGTCTGCAACGCACCTCATTCATACAAGCTCTCAAAATGGCAGGGAACGGCGCAGGGAGGACTAATGTCCAGAATTAAATGGATTCCCGAGAGATGCTGCGTGTATCTGAGCAAAACAAACCCGAGTATGTTGTTGTATTGACTGTACACACAGTCAGTGGAGGATGGAGACATATCTTCTGATTACAGTGTGCTGTTTCTAAGATCTGTCCGCGGACCTTTAAGCCATGGATCAGATCCAGCCCTACAGGGTATAAAATATCCCTGGTTGTGAACGTAACATAAGAGAGAGGTGGGGGGGACGCCTCCTCGCGCCCGTGAGTGTGTGCGCACGCAAGTGAGGGAGTGTGTGTGTATAGGGAATGATACGCTTTAAAAAAAAAAACCTGTGTGAGGTCCTTCTATATGCATGTGTGCGGGCGCGTTCTTAGCATGCCCGTGCGTAAAAGCGTGTTTCTGCCAGCGTGCGTAAGCGTGTGTGCGCGCGCTACTGGCCGAGAGAGGGAGAGAGAGAGAGAGAGGTGGTTGTGAGAAAGCACGGATCGCTGTGTAAGCGGATCCCTTTGTGTTGATTTAGGAAGACGTTTGCTGTATATAACGTTCAAGGCTGATAATATCATTGCCTGGCCAGATAAATAAAGCATTGGCCAAAACCATCGGGTCAGCTATCGATCCGCTTTTTCTCCCAGAGAAAGAGAGAGAGAGAGGTAGAGAGCGAGAGAGAGAGGGAGAGATGGGGAGGGGTGGACAGGAGGGGAAGGGGGGGTGCCGGTTGAGAACGAGAGGGAGAGAGAAAAAAGGGGAGAGAGACCTCACTCATTAGCATTCCACAGCCATGGACTAAACGCTGACAACTAACAGAGATATCCAGCTCTACACCACTGCATGCATTCTCCCCCCTTTGTCTTCTTCCCCCTGGCCCTTCATTTCCAGCGGACAGATCTCTCGTCACAGCCAACACATTTTTATTTATGCCTTCTCCTCTCCTTTTTGCACGAATGGAGCCCGCGTGCACCAGAGAGAAAAACCTTCCAGTAAAGCAGAGAGAGAGAGAGAAGGAGAGAGAGAGAGAGAGAGAAAGGGGGGAGTGATGTTGTAAAAGCTGTGCAGAAGTGACAGCGCTAAGCACACTGGCTTTGCTGGGGAGAGATACAATTGTGTGTGACTTGACAAAACAGGCGTGGGAGTCGGTTTAAATTGCAACCTTAACTGCTTTTATTTAGATATTTAAAGGATTAAAAACCTACAGGCTGTGGTGAGAAGGTAATCATAATTACTTTATTTTCATTCAGTGGTATAGCTCAACATGTTCCCTCTTTACTTTTGGACTTGGTTCCATAAAGTGCCACACGACTGCAGACAGTTTTTGTCTCTTTAAATCATTTAAATCAAGCTTTATTATTGGAATTCAAAAGTTTCTGTGTGAATAAATCAAAAGTTTCAATATTTGAATAAGAGATGCAGGGACTTCCAATGACATGTTCCTTTTTTTTCACATGACTATATCTTAATAGGCGTCCCAGCCTGGCCCAACAATGACAGCTGTTCATCTGATAGTAACTTCTTTCCAAGTTTTCTCCCCTCCCACCCCGGGCCCCCCGGTCTCTGTCTTGCTTTGTTGTTTTAAAATATGCATGTCTCTCCGGAATGCCAGTCACGGGTCCAAACTTTGTGTGTCCCAACCTCCCACATGATGAAATGATCCTTTTAAAGCGGGCTCAATATGTCTCAATCTGCACTCCTCTTCCCTCTCTAAAGCTCCTGGGCTCGGGACACAGCCCAGAAATATATTAATTAAAGCGCACAGACTTTAAAAAAAAAGAAAAAGAAGAAGAAAAAAACACACACACTGCATGAGGAAGAAGAGGCTGGATCAAGCACGACCAACGACGGATGGATGAAGATTCACGGCAGGAAAAGAAAAAAAAGTAAGGCTTATTTTGACGCTCTCTGTCTCTTCTCCTCCTCCTCTCTCTCTCTCTCTCTCTCTCTCTCACACACACACACTCTCCCTCTTTCTCTTTATGTGTGTGTGTGTGTGTGTGTGTGTGTGCCTGTCTCTTTTGCACGGTGTTCTTGTGTGTTCCTCGGACTGAAACGGATAAAGGCAGGGGGAGTGAGAGAGAAGAAGAGAGAGAGAAGTGCGAGAGAAAGGGGAGGAGGAATATATACGTAAAATGTGGAAGAGGATGGACGTACGCGTGTGTTTGTGAGTGCGTGTGTTTGTCACCAGTAAAATAATAATAATGATCAGCACCTGGGATTAAACTCCAAAGTGTGTGAGTGTGTGTGTACAGTATTTGGGCCCATGTTTACAGTATCCACGTGTTTACTTCTGTGCGTAAATCTAAAACGCAGTGCAGAAGAAATCCCAACTACTCACCAGGAGAAAAAAGAGAGAGACCCGGATGGTCGGAAAGGAAATGCTTGGTCTTAAAAGAGGGGGAAAGTGTGAATCAGATGTAACAGAGCGTTTGCAGCTCAAGAGGAACTCCTAATTCATTCTGTCAAGTTTGAGAGGATGTGTGTGTTTGTCACAATGTGATGATGCCATTTTAAAAATGCCAGCGTGTGAAATAATTAGCTGCTAAGTTGGTGAAGTTTCTGACAAAGTTGAAACCTGTTGCTTATATGCACCCAACATAACAGCAACCTGATAACATCCCCCATGCGCCCCTTGCAGCATTTCATCCCAGCGTAATCCTCCCCATCTCCAAAAATGTAAACACAGCAACACTGAGCAGATCTGCACAAACAAACTGAATTTAATTACTTTGTTCATTTATTAAATTCAGATAGGTTTTAATAGACATCCCAACAGTGTGATTATGTCAACATATGGGAGGCCATGCATGCAGCAAGGCCCGGGCTTACATACCTGATAACGCCTGGGCTTTTCAGCAATATTTACGGCTTCTCTTTCTAATACACTCCAGATGGTGTGTGAGTGTGCCACCGCAGCCAGCGAGCCTCTCCATTTTTTTTTTTTTTTTTTTTACTCAGCAGCATTTTGTTGCAATTACATCAACGCTCAGACCCAATTTATTGCTGACCCATTTTAGGAGCATTATATGTAAAATTTTGAAAAAAATGATTCATATGTGGAGGGAAAAAAGTTTGGCTTTACTTTACCGTTTCTTCACACTGAACTCTAAACTTTAAAAAGAAAACAAGGGGGAAAAGAAATCCCATTAAAATATATTGCTCAAATAGTCCTCATTCCATGGTGTGATGGATTAATATGTTATGGAGACAAAACACACAGGCCGCATTCATGCCTGACCAATCTTTGTTGTAGCCTGTGCGCTTTTTTTCAGCCAGTCACTCAGGCAGAATAATGCCTGTAAAGATATAATCCACTGAGCCTATGGCCTCTGTAGTCCTCTGCTATATTATCCACTGACAATGGATTTGGAAAGCTTTTTAAGCAAGTAACCAAACTCTCCACTAAACACATGAGAATGCCAAGGATTTGGTTAATGGACTAATTCCCTTCATGTTTTATTAGCTTAGTGATAAAACTAGTGTGTTATTTTTTGTTGTTGTAGAAATAGTAAATTTTAGGAAGTTTTAATCAATTAATTTAAAACCTGCTACTTAAAAATTATGGGTTAGAAATTAGTCCAATTTGCATAAATTTGCATAAAGTGTGACTCATGATGCTGTTGCACACCGGTGCGTAAAAGACTGAGGACATCTATCTATCAATCTATATATTAATCTCTTCACTTTGATCTCATCAGTGGGGTGTTACGGGTGTTTTGTTGCAGCTCAGGTTGTTGCTCTCTGTGTTTACCTGCGCTGCTCTCAGACAGGAGGCTGCTGTAGGTCTATTATGATTGACTGAAACCATGCATTGAAGGGTATTTTTCATCTGTGCCACGGGGAACCGCTCCTTACAGTCCTCAGGTTTCCCTCTCTCTCTCTCTCTCGTTGATAAATACATGTCTTTTTTCCATCTTACTCAGCACCATCCATCAAATTTGTATGTCCATGTTCCACTGCTGTTATAGAGGGAGGAAGGGAGGGGGGGTTGAAACAGAAGCTCTAAATCTTCAGCAGTGGATAAACGTCTCTCCATCTCTGCATACTCCATAATGAGTTGATCATTGGCGGCTGTGTTCTGCTCATATTAGCGCACTGAACGGTCAGACTATGCCAGAGTCAGAGATTTCAGAGTGGTCTTCCTCTATGCTCCGTGGGTTAATAACCTCTTCACGCGCTATAACCACTGTGTTTTGATCCCGGTAATACGTTGGATGGAGTATTTCTCTGGCTTGCTCACGGCTTTGGACCACTCTACACAAGACCAGTCGCCCTGTGGTTGCAAACTCTTTGTGGCCCCACATACCGCCGCTGTGATTATAGAAGTGGCTCCTCTCCCTTGTTAAAGGAGCAAAGGCTCTAATCTAGCCTCTGTGTCGCCCCCAAAGCCAGCGTGCTATAGTGGAAATGCGCGTAAAGGAGTGAGTGGGGGTCGGTCGAAGCGAGAGGAGAAGAGGGGAAGAGGGGAAGGAGAGGGGGGGAGTATAACGGAGTAGCCCTTTCCCTTCTTTTGAGTGACACGACCCCTCTCCTCTCTTCAAAGGCCACGCAGAAATAAACGCATCTCATTTGAATGGCGATTTTTTTTCTTGCTGGTATTTCACAGCCAATATTTCTGGAATAGGAATTTTTTTCCTGCAATATTGAATTCTGGTGGAGGGGTATTCAGTATTCCCATCTCTCCACATGCAGCATTCTACAGCCAGTGTGGTATTTTGTCCATGACTACACCCCTGAACCCCCCTACCCCACCCCACCCCGTCCAAATTCATTTGCATCCGCTGATGATATCAGTAAAGAATCGCTGGCACCGTATGAGGCAGCGAGGGGGTGCAGGAGAGGGGGGGAAGAAGAAGGCTTATTTGGATAAAACTGGACCGCAGAGTGGACACGGCCTTAAAGGTCAGTCGTCCATTCATGTCAAGGTGGCAGGGGGTGTGTGTGCTGGGGGGGTCGGCATGGGATTGCCAAAGAGGCTTATTTGAAAGCGGGCGTATATTTGAAGCAGGGGAATGAAAAGGAGACGACCACAAAGCTCGTCATACTTCAAATACGCCCCGTCACATCTTCACTCTTCCCTTTTCCACGCGGGTGTATAGGAAGAAGGTGGGGTCTCGACGCTGTGGCATGGCCTGCAGAACATGCTTTAGAAAATAATAAAACATGTGGACGACAAGGTGGATCATAGAGGTTTGGGCGCACAAAAGAAAGGCTTTCTAAGGTTCTCCTCCCTCTGATTTGTGCTCATAAAATAGAGGATTAATTCCTATAAAGAGGCCTAACGTGGTTGTCTGAAACTTCCCATAATGCTGCTGGATGTGGAGCATTTCATGTCATCTCGCGGTGTTATAATGTTGAGAAGATAGAAAGCCCTTTCTGAGGGATTCTTTACAGCACCAAAATAGGGCTTTGCCATGAAGTAAGCCTGTAATTTTCTCATTACTACAGGCTGTACAGTTCAATTTTAGTAATAGTGGAGGATGTCAGGGATTTACTTTAAGGGCAGAAAAAAAAGAAGAAAAAATTAACTTATATGTGCTGCTGAGTCACACAAAACTCTACATTTTGCACAAAAAAGAGTAAAAAAAGTAGGGATTATATCACACCAAAATTTTGCAAATTATGTCATATTTTTATAAATTAAAAAATCTTTACATGTGTCGTTTTAGTGCATGTAAACAACACCAATATTTTACTTAATTGCAAATGTCTCCACGTTAATTAATAAATCCATTAATGCAATCTCCTGCCATGCAAACAGCCAGGAATCACACACACACTGACTCACACACATATTTATCATTCATAATTATATACATATTATAAATCAAGGTAATTTACCCTGTATATGAAGGGTTTTAAAACACTTGAAGGTTTATTTAGAAAACTTGATCCTGATCAGTGGCCCTGGCTGTGGAGTGTAAACTGGAGGTGCAGCGTGTCTGTAGGCTGTGAGGGGGTTTTATTTGACGCCTTAACCGACCGAAAATGGTCACAAATTGCTGGTTGTCGAAAGGCGACTGACAAGATAACGAATATGAGAATTTTTGCCCCTGACACCTCGGTCCATATATCACTGCAAAAACCCTGCTGATCACTCACATGTTGTCTCTAACATAACTACACCTCAATAACACGCGTGCTTAGTCAGACGACATCAATTTTGATTTATTTTACCCCCTGAAAAACCTTAAAAACTAAAATGACTACATGTATTTTCTCATGTCTTCTTGGCTGTATGTGCTGATTTAAATGATCCAAAATTAAACACACTCCCCCCCTCACACATTGATGTAAAATATTAACACACTGTGAAAGGATTTTTTCGGTTATTATGTTGACCAGGATGGACAATAACACAAAGAGTACGCGTGACGAATGAAGCTCAGTGAGGCTCGATCATTTCAGATCCATAGCTCGACATTGACTTATCCACCAATGGTTGCTCGTGCCCCCTTTCGCTCGCGAGCCTTCTATGATTAGAAGTCATTATTATTACTGCTTTTGCTGTTAATGCGCCACCATAACCCGGACAGACTGCTCCACTGTGGAGGATTTTTACACGAGAATGAGGAAGTTTTTCTGCGAGTGAGTGAGAGAGTGAGTGAGTGAGGTTGGAAGTGTTACTGATGCACTTTTTTCTTTTCCTTTATTTGGCCAAAGCCTCTTCGTCTCCTCTTCTCCTCCTCTTCTTCTTCTTCTTCTTCTTCTCCTCAGCGATCCACATCTATGTGCCATCAGCTCTGCTCTCCACACAAGATGCATTGTTTGCTTGTGGTGTACATCCACAGTATATAAACGCAGTGATTGATTTTGTCAAGTGTGGGAGTCACCTGCTCCCCTTTCCCCCTCTTTTCCTCACCCACTTTGACATTAAAACTTCTGCCATTTTCAGCCTGATCGCTGGTCAGCTGCTGTGCCACGCTGACCCCCTCGGATGCTCATTAATATTTGATCTGAGAGACTGTATTTTATTGATCCTGGTTAATCCTGTTTAAATCCTGTGGAAATGCTAAAGTTTTAAAGCTAGACAAGCGCATGATAGACAAAGTTTTTAGTGTATATAAGGAGGCTAAACCGCGGCGCTTTGTTGTGGCGTCCCTCTGCGCCCCTGTGTGCCATGTGCGTAAAGACAGCTTCTGTGCCTCAGACCCTCCATGCGATTATTGTTGCTACCTTTGTTTGCTAGATGGCGCTCTGCGTTGTGGGACCCTCTGACACAGGAGCCGCCTCAGAGCCTCTCTCTCTCTCCCTCTCCCTCTCTCTCTCTCTGAGCCCACAGTCCTCTCTCTCAGCTCAGGGCAGCTTTCTCCAGCAGGGCCGTTTTTATCGAGCAGGAATTTCAGCAGCTGCAGACTCCTCAAATGTTACCCCACCGCTGTGCAGAGCGGGGGACTTTTATAATTGCATTATCCTATGTCGACTGACAGTTTTGTTTGTTTTGTTAAGCTGCGGAATCACATCGATTAAACCCAGTAATGCATTTCGTTTTAATGTAAAGCGATGGCAACACGGAGGATCGCTCTGTTTGTCATTTAACACATTGAAACATACGAATCTATATTTAATTAATATTTTAAGTGCATTGAATTGTCATTTTCTGGAATATACTGTGTAGCTAATTTTAGTAAAGAGAGACACTCAATCTGAAGATGCAACAGAGGAATATACTAAAAATAAAAACATAAATACACAGCAGAAAAAAGGAATGTTTAGTTTTTTTAGTAAATAAATTTAATAAAGTGTTGGTACATAAATGCTGCTTTAAAAGAATAAAAATGAATTATTATTTGAATGTTTTATTTTAATTTAATTTTAAAGAATTCAAGGATAATCTGACTGATCATATAATCTGTTTTAGATTATGAAAAACTCTTCGTTTAAAAAAAAAAACACACATAGGTGTGTTGTGTTGTTTGCTGAGTGCTCCACTCTGCTCCTCGGATAGACTGCTGCAGTTACACTTTCACTAAACAGCGGCTTGTCGATGTCTGACGTTGATGAATGTGTTGGAGACTTGGAGAGCCGTTTACAGCTGTCTTAAAAAGCGCCGTGGCCCCACAGCAACCAACCAACACATCAGGTGCACCCACAGGCCTGAACACGGCACTCTGTGACAAAGAAACACGCACTAAGTCCACTCTGAAAACGCTTAATTTTCACATTAAACGCAAACTTTAGAAATTTAATGAAATATATATTTTTTATTTGTTTTTTCAACTTGTTATTTTGCTTTCTAATGATCTCTTGCTGTAATTTTTATATTTGAACCATCTTTGAATTTGTCACCAGATCACTCCACACACACAAACACACACACAGAGAGAAAGTAGATTTCCTGTTTTGTGGCTGAAGATAAACACAGTGAAAGTGCAGACCATGTGGGCTGTGAATGATGGCTTTGGCTTTTTTTTTCTTCTTCACTGTGGCTTCATTTATTCCTCCACAACACCAATGTAAACTCCAGCGTGATAATATAGCCAATTAGCAGACTTTATTGGACTAAGGACTTTAATATTAGTCAAGTAGAGAGCAGAGAGAATTCTTATGGATGTAGAATTTGTCCTAAAGTAAGCAGATCAACCTCACCAACTACACACTCCTTCTTCTTGGGTGGTGTGGCACAGTTGATCCTCTTTTACTGCGTCCTGGGCTCCTCCACCTGCAGATACACATCCACTCCAAACCAGGCTTCACCTCCACGTTTTCTCTCTCCTCCTGCTATTTACATGAGGTGGCCTACAACACAGGGCTAACACATTATTAGCAGGCAGGGGGAGAGAGAGAGGAAAGCAGCATTTCAATTATTTTCTCAACAATGGGCCCGGGCCCGTCATACATTTTGAGTGTTTGAGTAAGGCTCTCCTGGTATTTGTTTTCCTCGACTTAACAAGCCATCATCTCACGCATGCATATAGAAGTGAAATTGCACCGGGATCCCGCAGGCAAAGGGCGGGTTGCGGGTTCAATTAAGGTGGAATAATGCATGGGGACAAAGCGTATGATGACCTCGATTGAAATTGATCAGAAAACGCATTCAGCAAAGAAACACACAGTAGCTTCTTTGTTTTGACTCGCAGGCCCTATCTGCCTCTGTCAAATCTAAAGCTACTTTGATTTTTTTGGACCTCATTTCAACGCCTGAATATAAAGCTAAGATTTTAATACCACCCAACCTATGTCTAGACTAATTCACTCATTTTTTTCTTGACATTTCTTTCTTTCTCTCCTTAATCGAATTTGCCACATTTAAGCTGGCGTGAGGAATTTGAGACATAAGCAGCCATTTGGGCTCCATCCCTGGAAATGACAGTGAATACGAAGGTTTGTCATCGTTCCTTAAGTAGAAAACAAGATATTTCAGCGCCACAGTGGGATTTTAACGAATTAAAATATCTCACTGCCTGCCTGTGATAAAACGGAGCAGGATTGAGGCGCTTGCTTGTTAAGTAACTTGCTGTCAGTATAGTTAGCAGTGCTCTGATATGGACGGTGGCTGCAGAGCC